GAGAGCCCAGCCACCCTGCGGAGGAAGCCCATTTCGGCCGCTTGTATCCGCTTGTAGGTCCTGCGATGTAGAAGGCAAATTAAATCAACGTGTTATCTAGGGGTGGCAGGAGGTAGGGAGTTCATCCTGTCGGTTTAAATCCCCGCTCTGTCCATCTCAGTCATTGTGTCCTTGGGTAAGACACTTCACAGCTTTACCTGCTGGTGGTGGTCAGATGGTCCGGTGATGCCGGTGCATGGCAGCCTCACCTCATCAGTGTGCCCCTGAGTAGCTGCAACTACAATGTAGCTACAATGTAGCTTACCACCATCAGTGTGTGAATGGCTGAATGATTGTATTGTGAACTGATTTGGAGTTTGTAGGGACTTGAAAAGCACTATGTAAGTTCAAACCATTGACAAWTTTGGGACTAAACCACTAAATGGATTATGGTAAATGGCTTGAACTTATAAAGTGCAAGTCCCTTTGGACTCCAAAGTGCTTTACACTTCCATCATGGTAGTAAGCTACAGCCACAGCTGCTCTGGGGCACACGACAGAGGTGGGGCTGCCACACACCATGCCACTGGACCCTCTGACCACCATCAGTAAGGACACGACTGAGACAGCTGGAATAGGGGATCGAACCAGCAACCTACTGATTACAGGATGACTCCCCTAACTAGGGGAATAAGTCATTGCAGTAGCCATTACAGCTTTTCTTTTTACGGGTTGCTTCCAATGGTGGAAGTGAGCGGCTTTATGTCAAAAGCTAAAATGGTCATTTTGTTGTGAAACTTCTGGGACAATAACGGCAATGTTCATCAGAGAAGTGTTGCCCATGAATTCTTAAACTGTGGAGGAAGATGATAAAGATCTTGACAAAAATGAGGAACAWGAGCAGGGAACTGGAGGAAAAGAGGTCAAATAAGGTTAGCATGAATACTAACATTAAAATATGATGGAAACACGGAGGCAACATGTTAGGTGGTCCCAGCACAATAAAAGATGGCAAGAATAACTCTCAAATACAGACAACATACTGTTTTTATTCATGTATAATATGATAATCATTTTTTGAACTTAAAAAGCATAAAAATTTAGTCATCATGTATGACACAACCACTCATTTCAGACAGACTTCAGGATTTTTCAGCTTTGTGGTGCACCATTATTTGGGGAGACACACTTGTRGGCGTATTTTGCTGCAGAGCTGTGGAACACGAGCAGCAGAAGTTTCCGGTTCTGTGTGTCACTAAAAAAACAATCAGCTCCCAGACCAGAGCAGAGGCCAAATGTTAACTTATTAAGATGGTTTTATSAGAACATGCAACTAAAGTCCAAGGCTTTTTTTTACATTACTGCGGTTAACAAGAAAAAGAAAAGTTTTTTCTCTTCTGACTGATGAGTAAACAACTRCTGTKTATATGCTTTGCTRTGCATGACTTATAATGGTAGGGAGGGGGGATTTTTCAGTTTTATACAAGGAAATATTGAAWCTAATTGTGGTTGTACATTAAAWAATGTCAGTCAAAATTTATTTCTGTGTATAATGCTACCTTACACTTTATGGATGATTTTTAGAGTTAAATTWCTAGTATTATACACAAATAAATACAGTACTTRTAACATGAACAAAACAGAGGTAAGATCAGTTCATCAACAACAAAATGGCAGCAGAACTTAAAGTGTTATTTAAGTCATCTGTTGAAAATTCCTGTATTTTTTCACATTGCAATTGAAACCAACAAAAAATCCCATTAGGTATTTACAGAAGCTTTGGTTTTTAAAATTTTGTCTGCAGCCACCGGACAATAAAAGTAGAACAGAGAGAATTAATCGGCGTGAACATCTTTACACTACAAACCACAGTGGATACGATGAACCTCTGATAATCCTCCAGGCTCTGTGGTGTTATGAGGAAAACAGATTTTCTCTTTGGTGGGGTGTGACTGACTGTGTTCTCTTTCAAYAAGGGCCAACCCATGTCGCTGTTTCCATGCAACTCCCTTTTCATCCAGATTAGACCAAATCCTGCCATGTTAAGATAATCTCCTGATCCCCTTTGGCTTTCAGAAGACACCTTGGCTCTGAGCATTAGACTTACTGGCAGTTATGCTCTCCAGGCGGACAGGAAGGCCAGACTGTGCGGCTGCGAGAAGCTTCAGGGCGACGTAGAACTGGGGGGTACCAAAGTAACCCAAATGCTTGGCTCCACACACTTCTGTCACCTGGAAAAACATAAATGAAATACAATTTTTGAGCTCAAACACCACGTAAGATTTACTCAAAGTCACAGAGTCAGACATAAACAGTGAGCAACAAGCATTAAAAGTTATTTCAGACCCTCGTCTAGGTGAAGTGCAGAATGATGGTCTCTGCTGACAGAACCAAGCTAGAGAGAAACATATGTAAAAGACAAGCAGCACAAGGGGATCCGTTTATTCTGATTAGAGGGACAATAACTGCTTTCAGTGGAGCTAAGAAGATTAGGTTTATGTAGGACAACCAAGAAAAACAGTTTCACACAAACATAATTGAAATGAAAAGAGAATCATTCAAAAGTAAAAAAGAAAGGGATTAAATGTTCACATACCCATGTATGGTAACAAATTAAATAATTTCATTTTTTTCTATCATTAAAGTATTTGTTGTTTGTACTTTAGGTCAATGAAAAATTGGCAAAACAGAGACAGAAGAACACAATTTGCAATCAGTCTGTTTTATCTAGRCTCAGTAAACTAAATAGTTTTTGTRTGAAGCTTTTAGTAAAATGGCCTCAAGGTAAATCTGTTAAGGGTTTGTACAAAAAGGATAACATTGGAGTCAAAAGTAGGACCTTTAAATTTAGTTTTCAGCATAAAATGTGGCCTGGTAATAAAGAACAGATCAACAAATTAAGACAATGTGCTAATTTGATACTTATCCCACAAAACTGGAGAAAAACAAAACAAAACACACTGCTTTTCTTAATTTCCTATTTTGAAGTTTTTCAGTCAAAGTGACTTATATCTGTTATAATTTGACACCAGCTTAGTAAAAATCCAATTATCCGATATCAGTTCCTTCATTTTCTTTTGAAGCTTCTCTGTGCAGGGTCAGAGGGAGATGGTCCCTGTCTACAGGGGTCAGGATGAGAGGCGGGGTGCACTCTACATGTTTCAAGTCCATCACAGGGACACACAGAGGCAAACTCACTCACACCAATTTAAACAAATTGAAATTGCCATTTTGAAAACTGAAGAAAACCCATTCATGCATGGGAAGAACATGCAAACTCCACACTGAAAGGACCCAGCTGGTGGTGAACCAGTGAGTTTCTTGCTGTGAGGCGACAGCTCTTAACACTGCACCACACGAAAAAGATAAAAGCCAAATACCACATTAAAAAAAAACTAACTGTGAATTAGTTTTTTAGATTCTTACTAAGCTAGTTAGCTGCTCATAGTTAGCAGTTAGCTTAGCAGTCAAAGTATCACAGTTTATAACTTACACAGTTAAAAACATATTAAAATGAACATGTAGCAGCTATATTCCTTCACATAGTTGATGTAATGTTAGTAGCTTAGCTCAGCAAGTTAACTTTATCAATAGTCCCAGCGTTTCCTTTATCAGGGTTGCCAGATTAAAAAGAATCACTAAATACTGATTTGTCACTTTAAAATGACGGAATGAGCTGAGGGAAGCTGTGCTTTTGGTCTGGATGATTGGATTGGACTTTCTGATGTTATACTGGTGAATTTCCATGCACTTATCTRGTGCATGGAAATGCTAAATCTATCATATACTGTATTTGAGCATTAAAAAACTATTTATTGTGTAAACACTGAAACTATCGTACATCTGCCAACACTGCCTGTCATTATTCAAGGGAAGTGGCCTGCCCCTTCACTGAGACCACTTGCCTCCCTATTGAAGGTCAGGGAGTGTAATAAATTAATAAATGTCTGGGGTACACGATAAATCAGACGGCTGATTTAACGGAACCGATTGCCTTAAATTTGGGAGTTTGTCCGATACTTAGATATTGGTATTGGTGAAGGTGGATGTGTAAAAACCAATATGAGCAGGGGCCTCCTAAAGCCCCATCTCCATGAACTCGATTCTACTTGATTCACTTCAAGTCGGTTGGTTCTGCTTGGTGTGTGTGTGCGTCTCCACGCAGTGTGTCCTTCACTCTGTGGGTGTGATTATGGGTGGACCGTCCGCAGCGACTTCAACTGTTGTGTTTAAAAAAATGAAAATAAAATAAAATAAAATAAAATATAAAAGCTGTTGTGGTCTTACGTTCAGACTTCACTTTTTATTTATTTAGTTTTTGTCGTGGCGCTGTGTGTGGGTGTGATTATGGGCGGACTGTCCGCAGCAAAAAAAACAAACAACAAAAAAAAGCCGTTGTGGTCTTACCATTTGGACTTTACCTTTTATTTACTTTTTGTCACGGTGCTTTTTATAAGTGCTTGTGTAGCCATGAGCGGCCAGTTTGTTGGAAACCTCCCATTTATCTGTTCAGCTTTATCTCCTTCACTTCTCTCCAGGAAGCATTTACCAGTTCTGCTTTTCTCAAGATCGCCAAAAAGGTTAGATGGTTTTATCACTGCTTTCACCATGTTGTCGTATCGTGCCGAGCGCTCGTATTCCAAAACAAAAGTGTCTCTCTCCATTTGGAAATTTACACAAGTAACGACTTTCCTCTGTCAATCTACTCTGGAGCTAATCCACGGGCAGAATTATGCTGACGTCAAAACTGTAAGCATGCTGAACTCGCTTCTACTCACTTAGAACCACCAGAGAGGAGGTTCTGAAACAGCGCGGTTGAGCGCACTTGGAACTTAATGGAGATGCATTGGGTTGAGACCGAGCCGAGTTGAACCGAGTACAAGCGAGTCTGTGGAGATGGGGCTAGTGGGCCTATTGCTCTCCCCAAAGAGACACTGAGCTTTAATTAAACCTTCTCGTCCCTCGGATGAAGGACATGAGGTTAGAAACACTAAGTGTTCTGAGCTTCTCAGCATCCATAAAGGGGTCCCCAAGAATTAATTTCCTTTGACTGCTCAGAGCCAGGTAGTGGCCTAAATAGTGCAAAGAGGTCTCTAATTCAATGCCACAGGCATCACACAGACCACTGTCATGGAGTCCCATCATCATGTTGTGGAGGTTGAGCAGATTGTGCTTAGTTATGACTCCAACCAGTGTACTTAGAGTTTTCCTTGTGAGGGAGATGAGAGCTTTCCCAAACCCTAGATTTGGGCCGTTAATCAGTTCCTGTGCCTGTCTACAGTCCGTCAGCTCTCTCCAGAGGATTGAGTGWTGATGTCTAATCCAGGCCTGTAGGGCAGTCCTACAGACTGTTGTTGAGGTACCTACAACAGGGTCTGGTCGGTTGAAGTGGGCCTGACTGCCAGTTTTTGTTACTTTTGTTACTTATACTGTATCTGTGAAAAAGAAGGGCTTCTCATCTACCTTCACAAAAGTCTGAACATCATCCACTGTCCCTGTTTGCTCTAACTAATGTCCAGTTAAAAGAAGTTTGTATTGTTTCAAGGGTATTGTTTAAGGTTGTTCAATAAAATAAGATTGGAACATTGAAGATGTATTGCGACCTTATAACACATGACAGATATTTTAAAAAATCGGTATGGGCCCAAAATCGCAATTGGCAGGTCAGACTTTTTAAAGATTGGTGATTGTCCAGAAATCTGCAATCAGTGCAAATGTACATTTTCAAGTTACCAACTTATTTTGGCAGAAAAATAATCTAAGAGCCACCCAAACCCCTTCAACCACACTGTGACCTCTGCCTCTGGACTACAGTATCTTCTCTAACATTGTAATAAATGTGTAGCTGACAAAATGATGCATATGAAAACACTAGCATTCGGATGGTCATCATTAGCTAACAAACACCAGAGGATTAGCATGTTTTAACTAAAAACACCACCTGGCTCTATTCAGAGGTAACAACAAAATTTAGTTGTAACTGCTATAATTAAACTATAATTACTAACTTTATTATAATAAATGTATGTATTTACTCTTAATGAGCTACTAGGGAAAATAGATGGGTGTGTTRTCCTAACTGCAATTTCATAGCATTATGGGCTTTTTATTAATTTTTAATGAAAGGGCCATATCTCTAACTGAAGTAGACAAAACTTATTCATGAGCTCTTAAATAAACCAAAAGGTTCAATCAGACTATCACAAGTTCTAACTATTCAGGCATGTAACTATTAATATAGAATCAACAAGTTAATCAAAGATCGCATTTAACAGTCAATACAGTTCTATCATAATACTGTACAAACTATACCATGTGTAGTGTAATTAAAATCAGTGTATTATATAAACACCAATAATTTCTTCAACTGAACATTAACAAATAGTATTAAGAACTTGATTGTTTACACTCCCACATGTTAGAATCTTAGTAAGATGCTTTTCCCTCTGACTTTTGTGACCAAAACAAAACAGGCTGACAGATTCCAGACATTAACCAAGACTAACAATATTTTTGCCATCACACATAACCTGAGCATAAATCCAGTTAGAGAACGCATTATAGAAAACATTTGCTGGTATGAATTTATTAAACACAAATAACAGATAAGCTGTTAATTCCTGCTGTTTAATGAAGCCGAGCAGCTGGTTAATAGCATGTGGCTCCTTCTGCTGAATAAAAGATTATTTCTGCTTGACCTGCATTGTACTCATACAACAGCTTTCACAAGAAACAGGACATCCAGAACAGCTCTGTTCCACAGAACACGCTGTAGAGATCGTCTGCAGCGTCAGTGTGAGCCAAGACAGAGTGGTGATGATGACGATGATGAGAAGGTGATTTCAGGCATGAAGTGAAAGCCTTGACAAACCAGACTGGCAGGTCAGATATGGCCTGAGGGAAAACTGTGTTAAATCGATGTAAAAATAGCAAATATAATATCATCATGGGTGGGACTAGATCATATGTCCTCTTTAGAGTGTGAATGAGGAAATTACTTTGAACACAAGTCAGTGTTACCATTGTTTACTGGAAGGCCACTGCAGCGTTTGGTTACTTCTTTACCCTACTCAAGTAAAAAAGAAGTAACCAAATGAAAGTAGTTTGTTATTCTTAACTAAACATTAATCCACAATAAAGTAAGTTAGGACATATTTTATCGACCTGCAGCCATTGCACATTATGTTACAGTTGTGGTGGCTGAGCTGAAGAGGGGAATCAAGAAGGCCAA